AAAAAAAAAAAAAAAAAAAATATTAAGTGCTAAAATTGAAATTGCCGTCATATAAATATACAAAATTATATTAATTTAAATTCAAAACTGAACAACATTTTATGTCATAAATTTATTGTAAACATTTAGTTTCCTGCAGTTTAAAATTGCTTGCTGTCAAGGATACTTTATTAATTTCAAAAAGCAAAAATATTTTCATTTTTAGTTTGCAAAAATATACTTAAATTGCAGCAAACATATTTACAAATGTAGGAGTATCTATCTGAATTATAAATAGCATAGCCAGAATATTTTACTGATATTATTTCGAATACTAATGCAAATAAACTGTGACAATATTTTTGATTTCAGAATTAATTAAAAAAATTTTTCATTGTCATATACGAGTATAAATACAGACCAATACCAATATTTAGCACTTGTCAATAATTATAATCAGAAGCAAGACCAGCAAGACCAGCAGGAGCAGCAGGACCAGCAGGACCAGCAATAACAATGACGATAATCAAACTGAAATAATAATTCTATAAACGTGTACAGAAATAATGAAACTAATTATGACAACAATAATTATGATAACAAAAACACAAATAGTTTTGTTATCAAGGACGAACTTTGGTAATCATAGCAAATCCTGCACTATCGAATGTGTATTTCAGATAATTATAACTTTGTATCGCAATCAATAATAAACAAAAAGGACATTAGCAAACGTGTACATTTAATTTATTTGAGTTATTAAGGATATATGAGTAGATGCTTGTAGTTTTGAAAAATATAATAATATTGTTTTACTTTGATTAATTATTGTATTTAATTAAAGTTTGGAATTTTGTGTTCATACAAAATACCAGAAGTAACTCGAGTAGAACTGCGTTTGAAATAGAAAAGCGGGTAGTAAGGTAAGTAGGTTGAAGTGGTGGCCCAATGAGCACACATGATGGCCCATTACGGTATCATAGGAATAGCATTGGTACGTACATAGATTTAAATTAGTATATAGCCAAGGTTGAAAAAGGTAACGACTCCCCCATTAGGTTAACGAAAACCAATCTTACAGTTCTATAAACTTGGCAAGGTCCCTAACATCACACGACGACAGCTCAGTCAGATCAGTAAGAAAAGAGGATCAGAAGATTTTTCATATTCTTCTAGCTAAAGAAGGACACTGACACATAAGATGGAGCACGGTCTCCTCCACATCCTCAAAGCCATAAACTCGACAAAAATCATTATAGGGTAGACTCAGTAATAAAGAGGATATTTTCAAATTTATAAAATAAATTTTCAAACAATTGGATTCTATTTTGGATACCGTTGAATATTTATCAGTGTCCTTTGTACACTGGAAAACACTGGCAAATTTGAACTTAGAGTTTTTTTGAATTCAAAATTGTTTGACTATATTTATAAATGAGAGAAATAAAAGGTTAGGTTATACCGGCGTTCGCAAGAGATCCACTTAGGTCTGTAGGCTCATTATGCAAAAGTATTATTAAAAATCCAAGGGTTCAAACTATTTAAAACCTCTGACAAAGCCTATGATGCTATTAAGAGAAAGGAAGAAAAAAAAAAGATTCTCAAAAAAGAAAAACCCTGGAGTACTAAGGCGGCGCTTTACATGTGCCGAACAGAAGCAAAGTAGATGGGAGACACTTTCATCGTCCTCACCACAAATGCGGAAGATATGGTTGAAAGGAAGATTTTTTCTCCTAGTGTGTTTACCTAAAATACAATGACCTGTATGTAAACCTACTTTGTAGTAGAGACTGATATCTCTACGGGGCATCACGATGAGAAAGTTTGATTTTCTTTTATTAGCGCGTGGCCAAATTGCATGCAGATGTCTGCATATCGTTGAGTCTTCCCATCTTTTATTAAAAAGTTCAGCACACGAAGAACTCATTACCAATTGACATGGTGTCAACAATATGCACAGATTGTTTAGGTGTCCCGAGTGGTTTCTTGAAGCAACCCGTCTTGTTAAGACCGTAAGACCGGGTACCGAGATTAGAGAAATATTGAACTGCGCCGACATCTCATGTGTAACAGTGAAAGACTATCCTAGATGTAAATTGGACTGAACTCAAGGACTTTAAAGGGCATTCCTTCCAAGTATATTATTTACTTTTAGACAAGCTAAAGCTTTCTTTATGGCAGTCATTTCTGGCTGAAAAACACTTTAATGAAGTGGAAGCTAATTGTAAGAGGATATATGTACCCCTTTTGAGCAATAAAAAATCTGTATTTGAAAAACACTAAAACTAACACTAAAACTGATACAAACATTAGCTAATATTAACATATTCAATAAGAAATTCATTAACATTAACATATTCATTAACACATACATGAGTGTTATTTGGAGCCAACAATTTGTTTCTTACAAGTTCCTACCACTCTATACTTTAATGGATTACATGCAATATAAATTTAGTTTAAGCTCATCTATATTTACATATATGTTGTGACGACTAAATTTTTTTGAATAAATTTTAGTCACACAATACGCATTTCACACGTTCACATTTTCACACGTTTCACAAAAATGCTGACGTCAAAGATAACTATAATTAAATAAAATTTGATGTTATGTACTCCAACATATCTAACATATGCTATACATACCTTGAAATACCCTGACGAATATTGATTTTAATTAATATAGTTCGAACTATATTAATTAAAATAGATTTAAATTATTTTCCCGAACCGCATGAAACACATTTTATTAAAAACAAAGCATAATCAAAACAAAATAGAAAAATGAGAAATGTCATTTATTAATTTGCTTTGTGCATTTCGGTTGATCGCCAAAAATTGCAGCGGATAATAGGAAAAAAAGCTGCGAGTGTAATTTAAAGCTTTCAGAAGTCTACAACAGAATGCCTGATGAGGGGAAATGTTGAGGGTATTGACCGAACAACGGCTAACAAAAAAGTCCGCTCGACGCAGTTAGAAAAAAAGGAGAATAAAAGGCGCAAGCGGAGAAGTTTTCGGTCTCTTGGCTCGTGGTTATGTTAAACGAAACGCAACGTACCGGTGGTGTGAATTACTCAGTTTTTGTCCATATAAAGAAATAATTAATTCAAAAATTATTTATAAACTAAATTTTGATTTACAACTTTAATTATTTTTTTTTGAAAAAAATTAAAAATTGCTTAAGAGCAAAAAGTGTAAAATAAAACTTTGATTTTTACTAATAAAATTTATTTTGGTGCTCGGGATAATAGTGATAATAGCCCCAGTATAAAAGAAATAGTTGACGGCTTTAACAGTGGTTAACTAAAAGATTTTGTACTGGTGCTCGTTCGAAGATTATAAACGTGTTGACACCATAAGCAAACGACGTGGCGCGGCTTTGGTGTCTCTTTGTCTCTGATACGTGGCAAAGTTTAAGGTGATTGGCGGTTCCTGATAATCAACGCTGGACATTGTAAGCTGCCCTGATGTACCAGAGAGGGTAAGGCTTATATATATATATATATAAAATACAGAAGTCAACAAATAATATGTATAAAACTCGAAATTAAACCGAAAACAGGATATTTGTGGAAAAAATTTTATTCTGTAATATGCAAATTTAATCTCAAATAATTATAAAGTGTAACATTAAAAATTTAATTACTGAATCCACAATTAAGGAATGTAAAAATATTATATAAAAATTCTAAGTGAAATATCAAAGTAATCTTCCCTTATATTTTTATTTAAAAACATTTTGTGAGTTTTTTTTTATAAATTTTGTTGTATGTAAATGAACACAAAGAAGGCATTTATAAACGTGAAACTTAAAACATGATTAATTAATATTATTTGATTATTATTAACTACGAGTAATTATAAAGACATTATTTGAAAAAAATTGTTTTTTTATTTAAAATACAAATTGTTTAATACAAATTGAAATCAGTTAAATATTATTTGATTATTATTATTTATGAGTAATTGTAAAGAGATTATTTGATAAATTGTTTTTATTTAAAATACATTGATTGTTATACATATATTACCAATTGTTTAATAAAGAAAAAAACTTGAATTCGAAAATAATTACTTTGTTACGACATCTTACTTCAACGGTAGAAACGACATTAGTTGAACGCTGGGTCCCCGCGAATAGAAATTTTCTTGTAAGACCTTGGACTAGGCTGAGAACTACCCCGGCTAGGAAAAAGTAGGTTCATTACAAGTGGCGCCCGAGCAGGGACCCTGAGACCAGCACTTCACGTTTTGGATAACAACTTTTCCATCGTCATTAACGAGGTAAAATACACAGTTAACATGAGCAGGTCGTAGATATTTTTTTTTATTTTACGGAAACATGACTTAAGTATCTCGGAGAATTCGGGCTGGGTACTACTGAATAATATAAGATTTGCGGCGGTGATTAACAAACTGTGCAACACAGGGAAAGCAACATGGAATATACACGCGACAGAGAATACAGCGAAACATCAGAGCGACATAGCATGATCAACGACACAACGGCAAGGCAGTTATATACACATCCACAATATGATGTACACTCGTATCTTCCTCAAAGGAACACACAGGCAAGCGTCACCGACCAGGTCAGAAAATGGGCGATCCGGTATGATGACAACAGCGATCCATTGACGTTTATCGAGCGATTGGAAGAATTAGCTGATCTGTATGCCATATCAACGAACATGTTGCCTCGAACAATGCCCCTGTTACTAGATGGACAAGGTTTGGTGTGGTTTA